ATTAAACCAACAATGTTGCCAGGCATACTCAGAACAAGAAAAAAATAGATGATTCCTAATAAACATCAGTGCACTTACTTGTGCATAAAATCATTTTGGTAGGTTTAATTTAATTCAGACGTAAAACGGGATGTTTCGTATGTGACCTATAAATAAACAACTCTTAAAACTTAAAGTCTGATCTTTCATGTCTAATCAGACAAATGTGCAGCTTGTGTGAACGTAAAAGATGGCTAGGCAGCCGGAAAGAGACGCACATCGCAGCAACTCTCCATATTCCCAACCTCTTTTACCCCTGTTAATCTCTTTTATTCTGTCTTTACTACTGAAATGTTTACACAAGCTGAGGGAGCTCAGTCTGCTGTGCTTTAATCACAGTGCGTGTGTGTGTGTAGGGGACGACCGTGTGCGCTCACAAACAAGGGTGGAGGCACCTGTCTTTGTACATCTTTGAGCCTGTTTAAGCAGGAGGCTCATTCAGAATATGAATATGATTGAAAGGGGAAAGGAAAAGGTTGAGTGAAAAGCGTGTCAATTAATGGTCTAATTTGGAATGAGTGAAGGGCGGAAACATTTCTGTGACAGTGTGGAGATCTGTGAGTGTGTGTTGAGATGCAATCTAAAAGCACACACACACACACACACACACACACACACACACACACACACACGTCACAATCTCATCGCTCAAAGTGGGTGGAGGGATTGATTGCAGCATGCAGGTTTTCTCTGTGGTGCTAACTGGATTCCCAGGTCATTAGATAAAGTACACGGGGTGACGTTGTTCAACCCTTAAGACTAGAGGAGAACCATATTAATGAGGTTGTTTTGCCAGAAGCGAGGCAATTTCCTCACCTCGCGGCAGAAGAGGGTCGCTGAGAGAGAGGGCTCACGTGACACCGCATGAAACAGAAGCTCTCGAACGCACACCATCAAAAATACAGCTGAAACAGAGTGCTGGAAGACCACAGAAAGCCATCCTCCAGAGAGCCATGATCTTTACGCGTGTAATGAATTCACTTTATTATGTAGAACCACTCTGTAAATCTACCAATATTGGAACCTTTCCGATATTCTCATTTACCGTTATGGCTTGCAATCCCGTTTGGCCATGCTCAATGGGAGTGAATGAATCAACCCAGCGTTAAAAGCTAAGAAAGGGAGAGAATGCATGAGAAAGGACATCAATGAGGGGGGTGAGCGGGGTCAGCTCAATTGACCTCAAGGTTTTTCCACAGTTTTAGTGGACAGATGCTCATATCCCAATTAAGAGGAGGGGGTGAAAGCCAGCGTTCAGAGGTGAGCATCTGAGCTGTAGCTGCATGTCCATTGCACTTGCTTCTACTGAACATTGCCACTAGGGCTGCACAATATATATCGTTTCAGCATTGATTTACTATCACAATATGTGTGTCTGCAAAATATGGCAGGATATGCAATGTTGAGTTGGGTTAAAATATTTGAAAATACATGCAATTTGTGAAGTCATTGCAAAGTATAACCATAACTGAGTGATTTTATCACTTGCACATGTTATAAAAGCTTTTCAAACGAGTTAAAAGCATTCAGGCATAATAAAGTACAATAATTATAACTTCAATGAAGAATAAAATTACTGAATTATTAATACAATGAAGAATATACAGTGTTATTTTGCACTTCATTATTAAACTTCTGTACCTGAATACTGTTCGACTCTCCGGGAAAATCATAAATGACTAATCTTTTTGCTTTATTGTAATTATTCTTGCTTGCAATTTGTTTATATATATATTATTATATATAAGAGTCATATTTCACATGATAAACTTAAAAATAGTGCAGTAATCATACCCCAAAAAATAGACAGTTTTAAACAAAACCTGAGTAAAGATGGACAAACCCAGGTGTTAAAAACGGAGCACATACAACATTTAATATATATAATATTATTATAAATAGAGCTGGGTGATTAATTGAAATGAAATTGCAAACGTGATTGAGCAAAGCCATTATGGTCACGCACATTTCATCTGGGAAGGACGGTGTGATCTGTAGTAAATCTCCAACGCTTATTGGAACTCCAGATACCCATGAAAAAACACAGGAAATCACCAAACCGCTGCTGAATAAACTGAATATTTAACTGCTTACAAAAACATCTCACATGCAGCTTCATTTCAAACACTAAATTGATTAAGTTTTAAAGGGATTTTGGAGTAAAACCATGTTATTTTATGTAGTAAATTCACATGGAACATTTACAATGCTCTTATTATGACAAAACAATGATCTCGATGTCATAATAATCTGATTAAATACAATTTTTATTTTAAAATAGAGCTTTATGTAACTTGTCAGTGTACTAAATACTGCTCCATCTGAATGCACATGCTGAAGGTTTACTAGAACCGGCATTACTGACAAAATGCGCAAGTCAATTGCTTTCGATTAATGCCTAATTATAATAGATATTGTCCAACTGACTAGTTGTCCACCCATTCTGTGCAATTAAAAGGTCAACCAGCATCCAATCCACTTCACCGCCAACAACTTGGATGAGCACTGACTAATTAGATTGAGGCGGTAAAAGATAGAGATGAGAGCCAGTAAAGCCTTGTCTTCTCCCGTGACATTTACAGCCATCAGACAAAGACCCCAAGATCTGCACTTAATCAAGGTGCAGATAATCACAAAACATACTATATGTTATTCTTGGCAAGAGCAGGATTGTGCTGCCCTCAGCACTCTTCCAAGCAATCCGATTACAGGCTGCTTGAATGCCCGGGCTCTGGCACGCTCTCCCCTGCCTACCCTCCCTTTCCTCTGCACATCCTTCTCACTCATCCAGCCTGCCCTGAACCCCCCCTCGCTTCTCCTGCGGCTGTCATAAGCCAGCCTGCCCAGTGTCCACCCCCTCCCATCAGCACCTTAGCCGTTCAGTGCCATTAACAAAGCCTCATGGGTCTTCCTCCACACACTCTCTACAGGGGGGAGGGCAAGCCGAAGGACCTCTCGGCTAATTGTCTCCTGCTGTGGGGAAGTAGCCATCAGAAAAGCCATAATGTGCTTATTTGCTTGTGACATAACGTTATCTCAACATAGAGACAATCAAATGTGGCACCCATGGAAGGAAAAAGCGCAGCTGTCTGTGGTTGCTGGAGGAAATAAATCAGGCAAATATATTGGCCTAATAAAATGGATTGAATCTGAGGTGGTTTTGCTCTCTGATCGACGTGTCCTTTGAAGATTCCAGCTTTTTAAGTAGCTGATTAATAATCTATATAAAAAGCGTCGGGGAAGAGCGGATCAAGTAGCGAAAACTAAAATCCACAACAGGAGTTTCTCTTTCAGTTTCTCTCGCTTTTTTTTAATTGATCAATTAAAGGCATGTAAAACCAAGCTGGCGCTACAATGTAAACATGTGCGAGCTAGACGAGGCTTTGTAGAGAATATCTGGTGCTCGGCTTCACACAAGCTAATTAAACTTGTAAATCTCAGTGTGTTGCATGCTGATCTTCCTATAGAGTAAAAAGCACAGGCATTAAAACTAGAAAAAAAAAAGCCAACTGTCAGCACATTTCATTTACAAAAAACATCCATAAGCCTGGGTAAATGAGCGTACTGGAAAACCTGAAGATATGAATAGCAATTCTCAACACACCTCTTCAAATACAAACGGCCATCTCGATGCAAACGTGTACTGAAATACAGAGATGAGAAGTACACAAGTGCAAATACTTCCTTACTGTACTTTAGTTACAACAAAAGTAACTCATTCATTCATTCATTTTCTTTTCGGCTTGACCCCTTTATTAATCTGGGGTCGCCACTTATCTAGCAGGTTTTTACATAGCGGATGCCCTTCCAGCCGCAACCCATCTCTGGAAAACATCTCATTTACACTCATACTATGGACAATTTAGTCTACCCAATTCACCTGTACCACATGTGTTTGGAGTGTGGGGGAAACCGGAGCACCCGGATGAAACTCACGCAAACGCAGGGAGAACATCCAAACTCCACACAAAAATACCAACTGACCCAGCCGAGGCTAGAACCAGCGACCTTCTTGCTGTGAGGCGACAGCACTACCTACTGCGCCAATGTAAGTAGTAACTACCCTGATCAATTTATGAAAAAAAAATATAATGCAAAAGATCCTGAATTAATCACATTAAAGAAACCTCGTGCAGATGTTTTGTAGGTTGTAGTCACACCTGTGTGTTGCTTTTAACATAGAACAAATGTATTAACATAATTAAGGTTTATCATTAAATAAAATATCCACATTACCCTAGAAAAAAAACACCACGGATGCCCTTCCAGCCGCAACCCAGTACTGGGAACCACCCATACACTCTCACATTGACACATGCACTTACACACTATGGCCAATGGGCTCTATGCACAGCTACAATTTTAAAGCCAACGATAGGCTTAATGTGACTATTCTCAATTTCACAAGGTTGTTTTTACAGCATTGATGTTGTAATGTAATGAAAATACATTCAGTTTAATAGACTTCAGCATACTGGGGTACGATAAACTGTCATATTTTAAAGAGATGGCGGGGGAAATTTAATCTAGTGCTTCTTGTCTGATCAGAGATCTACTTCATATCGCATATCTAACCAGCAGTGAAGATCGCTGATTTTTCAAAAAAAAAAAAAAAACTAGATCTTAAACGTGACAATTTTGTAATGGAAAGACAGATCACTTGAAGCCCTTGGGCTGCCTGGCTGAAAATTAAAAGTCTGTGTGCATATAGCCCATTAAGCTTATCTATTCACTTACTGCAAGTCTTTGGACTGTGGGGAAAACCGAATATTTACCTACCTAGTGAAAATAAAACTTGTAGTAGTAATGGGCACTTTTTACTTAAGTACATTTTTAAGGCCATGCTGCTTTACTTTTGCTTGGTGTGCAACGTGTAATCAGTACTTCAACTTTTACCAGTCGTTTTGAAGCATGAGTATCTGTACTTCTACTTGAGTAAAGGATGTGTGTACTTTCGCCATCTCTGCTGAAATGAATCAAGCCAATTACCCTGAGCAGACCCCCACGTTTGATCCTGCTTTTGACGTATAGAAAAAGATGTGAAACAAAAAGCGAAGCACAACGGTAACACTGTTACATAAGAGCCTGGCGGAGAGCGAGCCTTGATCTGGACAGATGAAGGGAAGGATAAAAAGTCTCAACTCACCAGCTTGAAGTCCTGAATGCTACAGATGAAGTAGGGAGTGTTCGGCCGTCGGCTCTCTATGTACACACAATCTGTGAAAAAAGCCAAACAAAAAGTGTTAGACTCATTATGTAGACCGTCACATAAGATGATCTCAATTATCTTAATTTCTCAAACCTGCACAGAATCGGTTTCTCTTTGTAAAACACAACTGGAATGTGAGTAATAGGATTAAAGGGCTTTTGGACGCAGGACAGTCCGCCCTTTCCAGAACAAACATCAAGGGGAGTCCGAGAAAGAAGGCCGGTATTGTTCCAACACAATTATGTGATGGCAGGGGTTTGTGTAGAGAAGGAAAACACAATGATCGAGACAATGCTGAGCTGATACGATGCAAAACCTATCCTAAATTACGCAAAAATGATGAAACTTTTCCTCCTCTGAACCTGAAAAGAGGGCTTCTGTGTTTAAATCAAATGTGACTGGTGGTATGGCCAGGTCACGACCTTCATCTCCTTAACAAAAACATTCACACAGCACAGCCCCAACAAGAGAAAGCAGCTTTAGCTAAGGAGACACACACATACACGCACACACATACTTCCTTCCTCTGCGGTCAATCTGCCAAACATTTGTAGAGTGCGGGGGATGAAAAGATCACCCTCTTGTTCCACCCGCTTCTCCGCAGAGAGACAATCTGAGGCGCTCTTGAAATGGAAAATACTTCAGTGCCGTGCTGAACAGACATCAAAATTATTGCAAGTTACGTGAGGGGGGGAAAAAAACGATATCTGTTTGAAAGAAAGGGAGTGTTCGGAGCTGTTTGCTAGATAAGAATCTTATTTACACAGAAGAATGAGCCTCCAGTTTGAAGACAAGCATTCTTTGATAGTTCAAATGTGTTGAGAACACAAGGGGGGCTGTGCTCGGCTGCTTGGATCACCCTCCGTCAGACTCTGAGGTGCCAGCCACTGCTCCATTCAAAACACTCATTACATTACACTGCCATTTCACACTACAAATCCATTTTACACTGGAATCCAAGCTGGAATTTGTGTTACCTAGACATGTGCGGTTCAGCTTCAGATGAGGTGAAGAGGTCGCTGTGGTTTCACATCAACATGAAATCAAAACGGACTCTATTTGTTTATTTAGACATTTCTAGACGTTCTACGATGTTTTATTAAAACAATATAATGCTCCTTGGGTAAAATAATGTTTCCTTCTTGATGACATCAGCTAGGTCATCCGGTCAATTAGATTACGTTAACTTATAGCTAGGCCCACACGGAATCTGCCATTGCAGAAACACGCAGATTTTTATTCCATCATCAAAGTCTATTTATTTAGTTGTTTGTAAATGTGGCTAAATTTATATTAATTCAGTTTTTTAATTAATTTCAGTAATATTACTAATATGAAAACATTTATATGATTTACTTACTATCAGAGTTTATACACATTTTTATTACTAAAATTTCATGACTTTTCTAAGAATTAAGTACATTTTCATGACCTAATGTTTCATGTAAAGTCTACGTACACTTGGTAAGGAAAACAATGCACATTCAAATGTATTACAGCATATCATAAAACACGCAACAATCTATTTAGTTTAAATAAATGTTTATATCTATGTGAAATTGATTTAGATAATGCTTACACAGCACTAATGATGTGAGAGCATGTTTTTGGCCAAAGACAGAAAAGAAGTAACGATAACTAACCTATATTCAAGTATACAGATATTTGTTCAACTAATTTCCATCACTTTTACAAAACTTTGTGGGTTTTTCCGTTTTTCCAAAAAAATTTCCAGGCCGGGAAAATGCCATTTCAAAATGACCGTATGATCCCTGTACAATACAGTTTTTAAAGTAATAATTTTAATAGATAATTTAGAAGATAGAAAGATCATTTTAGTCTTTTAGTAGATGTACGGTAGATATATTATATGAGAGACTTGCTTTGTTTACCAAATTAATGGATTTAATAGGATTTGCATTGTAAACATTAGATGGTAACACTTTACAATAAGGTTCATTAGTTAATGCATTTACTAACATGAATAAATACAGTAGTAAATGTATTGTTCATTGTTTGTTCATGTTAGTAAATGCATTACTTAACATTAACTAATGAGCCTTATTGTAAAGTGTGACCCATTAAATAAAAGTTAAAAAGCTATTATTTTTATTTAACATATTTAGGTTTTTAGTTGCGATACACTCAAAATCATTCAGCATAAATCTGCAGATTTTTCACAATATTCTGAGCAAAAACAGCAAAACATGTCCGCAGATTCTGTCTGGCCCTACTTACAACCAGCTAGCTTGCTTTTGTATTAAAATCAGTTACATCTGTGCTAATCCCTCCCACCTTTTAACATCTAATCACCTTACAGATCTCACTTAAAGGGAAAGTTTACCAAAAAATGAACATTGACATGATTTACTGTTTGAGCTGAGTTTGAGTTTCTTTTTTCTGTTAAACGCAATAGATATTTTGAAGAAAGCTAGAAAGTTAGCTTGGCTTTCCTACTATTGGAAGTCGATGATTACAGGTTTACAGCCTCATTCAAAATATCTTTTGTGTTTAACAGGAGAAAGAAACTTTATATCCAGAGTGCAAATTATTCATTGGAGATCAGGGAGATCAACTTATCATTTTATCAGTAATACATGCTTAATACATTTATGAATGTATTTAAATTACATCTCATTTATAAATAAAATTAAAATTGTTTAACATGTTTTGAAGGATATTTAGTGACTATTTTAGAGGTTACTGTCGATCAAACTATACAAATTATGTGTCTAATGTTTTTTTAGGCTACATATTTTACAAGAAACGTCTTTACCTAAAATGTAAATACCTAAGATGTCCATCGGTGCTCTAGAACTGCTAGTTTCAGACCGCTGAATCATATTTGTCCTAGCACTGATTGGCGCGATTATGGATTCACAATGGTATGAACCATTATAGGGGGCTCAAATGTATAATGTATACATGTGTAATCTATATTATACATTTTTAACTATTAATATTTACAAACATTTATAAATCACATCAGAGAAAGCGATTTCTTACTAATAAAGGGTTGACCCCCCGATACATCTTGTTTTGATGTCCCTCAGGGGGGATAAAGCATTAATTAGGGTGGTCTAATCCTGGTTACCCTGTTTATAACCAGCAAAGGTCTAGTAAGTGAATCTTCATCTTTCGAAAAACCTTTTCCAAATAAGTAAAATCACAAATTCCATTTCATGTTGACTTGAAAGCAATTTACAGTTACAAAAGCAGAGATCAAATATTAACTTTGATGCCATAAACCTAATTTTAAAAAGAAATAAAGATTAAATAACCACATTTAAGGATGGGAAAATGAAGCTTATGAGAAAACTGAATTCAAGATTCATAATAGCATCCTAAAGCCATGATTCATTCACATTTCCTGGCTCATAAACAAAGGCCAAAACGCGTGCTAAAACACAAGTCATGCATTAACAAGCCAGGGCGACTCCACCATCTTGTCTCCAGCTCACTAAATCCATAAGCAACACTTGTGTGTGTTGATGATGGGGTCGAGCCTCACAGTTACCCAGCAGCTATATCTGAACACACAGCTCCTGGAGCGTGGCACAAACACACTCTAGCACTATGGCGAGGACTGCAGTCTGTGTGTGTGTGTGTCATTGCTTTATGCACGGATCTGGAGATGCTAGAAGTCTTTGTGTCTCTGTAGTGCGAAAACTGCATGGAGATAAATGTTTATCTGAACGCTTCAGTATTCCAGGGATGAATTCACATAGCGTGGGCTGAGGAGGCTAAAAGCTACTACTAACAAAAGGAGAGTGATTCTGTTCCAGCCCTCTTAGTGCACATCATCTTTTATTTATTTGTTTTGCCTGGTGCCGTTATTGATCTTGTTGCGTTTATCTGTTCAATGCAGCAGGCGGAATAAAGATATTTAATAGGCTGAGCACATTGTACACCGTTCATTTGGGTGGGTTGAGAGAGAGAGAGGGGGGGGGGTGTTAAGAATGCAAAGGGGGCCATTTTGAGTGGGTTGCATGTGTGACAGTAAAGGCTTGTTATTGGAGCTGGTCTGCACAAGGTCTTCTAAGGCTTTCTTGTGTGTTAGAGGGGTGGGCTGAGTTCTTCCTGTCTGTTTCTACCTGCGCTCATCCTCTCATTTACAAGATAACGTAAGTGAATTTATCCATCAGCACCATGACTGACCGCCTTCAACGGAGGGGGAGGGGAGGCAGGAGAACAAAAGAGACAAATCTCAATGAAATGAGATGACATGTTTCAGAACGTCCCAGGCGGTGTTGAGAGGGATTTACCTTTGAGAATTGCGGCTTATAGTCTCTTAACCCGGCTGGTAGATTCATTTAGAGGAAATGGATTCCCTACATACTGACAAGGCAATAGATATCTGTGCTGTGAGCCTTAAGAAAAAATACTGGAGCTATAAAGGTCTGCTTTAAAATGCTTCCTGGAGTAAATGAAGCTGTAGATGTGATTTCAGTTTATTTCTTAGCAATAAAACTGAAAGAAAAAAATCTGCACTTTAAGCATTTATGTTTTTACAATTAACACAGATTTAATCACTTTCATTTAATTACATTAACAGTCAATAAGATTAATTGAAATGAAAAAAAATATATAAAATGCTGAATATAATTGGAATCGATTCAAACAAAAAACTGATTAACAGAAAATGAACTCAACCAAGCCCAAAGATATGTACACCAGATATCACATACGGACCTTGAGCATGCATCAATACAGACGCCACATTGGTACAGTGCTCCCAGGACGAAAGTCCTTCAACCGCACTTGTCAAGACTAAAGCCAATCTGAAGATGCTGGTCTTTTGCGCTTGTGTACAGGTGTAGTAACGAGCAAACAAGGAAAGCAAAGCATAAAGGCAGAACATTTCATAGGTGAGATTTAGTTACAAATTGTCACAAATTTGTGCCAAATAATTAATGTTATTCCTGGTAATACAGTGACTTACTGCATTGACCATAAGGCAAAAGAACACCAACTTGCATAAATCCCAGGCTTAGTCTAGTTTTATAAA